TGGCAAAGTGTAATGGAGAACAAAGAAATGGCAGAGGAACTGAGTAGGTACTTTGCATCAATCTTCATGGTGGAAGACACCAGCAATGTACCAGAACTTCAAGCAATTCAGGGGCAGAAGTGAGTGCCTTGGCCATCGTTAAGGAGAAGGTGCTGAAAAGTCTGAAGGTGGGTAAATCATCCAGACTAGATGGATAACATCCCAGGGTTTGGAAGGAGATAGATGAGGACATTGTGGAGGCATTGGTGATGAGCTTTCAGGAATCACTGAAGTCTGGGAGGGTACAAGAGAACTTGAAAATGGCTAATGTAACACTGCTATTTAAGAAGGGAGGGAGGCAGGAGACATAAAATTATAGGCTGGTTAGATTGGCCTCAGTTGTTGGTAAGATTTTACCATGCATCATTAAGGATGAGATTATGTAGTACTTAGGAGTGCTTGGTAAAATACGGCTGAGTCAGCACAGCTTAGTCAGCGTGAGAGTATGCATGACAAATCTATTAGAATTCTTTGAGAAGGTAATGAGCAAGTTAGACAAAGGAGAGCCAGCGGATGTGATCTATTTGGATTTCCAGAATGTCTTTGACAAGGTGCCACACAGAAGGTTACTGAACAAGAAAAAGGTTCATGGTGTTAGGGGCAAGGTGCTGGCATGGATAAAGGATTGACTGACTGGTAGGATGCAAACAGTAGGGATAAAGAGGTCTTCTACAGTATGGCAGCCAGTGACTAGTGGAGTTCCACAGCGATCAGTGTTGGGACCACAACCATTCCCATCATACATTCACAATCTGGACAAAGGAACTGAGGACCTTGTTGCCAGGTTTGCAGATGACACAAAGATAAGTGGAGGGACAGATAATGTTGAGGAAGTCAGAATGCAGAAGGACTTGGACAGGCTAGAAGAACAGGCAAAGTGGTGGCAGATGAAATACAATCTGGGAAAGTGTGAGATTATACACTTTGGTAGGAAGAATAGACTATTTTCTAAATGGGGAAAGGCTTCAGAAATCTGAAATTAAAGGAACTTACAAGTCCTAATTGAGGATTCTCTTAGGGTTAACCTGCAGGTTCGGTAAGCAGTTAGGAAAGCAAATGCAATGTTTGCATTCATTTCACAAAGACTAGAATACAAGAGCAGAGATGTACTGCTGAGGCTGTATAAGGCTCTAGTTAGACAACATTTGGAATATTGTGAGCAGTTTTGGGCCTTGTACCTAAAGAAAAATGTGCTGGCATTGGAAAGAGGCCCAGAGGAGGTTTACAAGAATGATCCCAGGATGAAGAGCTTGTCATATGAGCAATGGTGAGGACTCTGCGTCTGTACTTGACGGAGTTAAGAAGGATGAAGGGGCGATTTCATTGAAACTTACAGAATACTGGGAGGCCTGAATAGAGTGAATGTGGAGAAAATGTTTCCATTCATAAGGAAGACTACAATCCAAGGGTACAGTCTGACAGTGAAGGGACAACCCTTTAGAGTTGAGATGAGGAGGAATTTCTTCAGTCAGAAGGTGGTGTATCTATGGAATTCATTGCCAAAGAAGGTTGCAGACGCCAAGTCATTGACTATATTTAAGACAGAGATAGATGGGTTCTTGACTAGTAAGGCAATCAAAGATAATTGGGAGAAGGCAGGAGAATGGGATTGAGAAACATATCAGCCATGATTGAATGGTGGAACAGATTTGATGGGCCAAATGGCCTAATTCTGTTCTGATATCTTATGGTCTTATGATCTGCCAATCCCCAGGGTTTCCTCCACCTGTAAGCCTTCAGTTCCATCCTCTGCTCTCTGCCTCATTATGAAATTGTCAGCTCCTGCAAAAGAGAGTTCAGAGTGTGATGAGTTAACTGATTGCAAAGGATAGAGGCTAGCTATTTGAGGACGGGGACTGTGACAAACAGGAGCAAGAGGACAACAGGTTGCAGGTAAAAGAAAGGAAGCCTTGTATTTACAATCACACTTTACACAACCCACGGCCATCTCAAAGTGCTTTACAGCCAGTGACGTATGGTCACTGTTGCAATGTAGGAAAGGCAGCAGCGAGCAAACTCCTATCGGTCAGCAAAAAACAGAAGTCTTTGGAAATCTCAAACAAAACCAGAAAATGCTGGAGAAACTCAGCAGAACTGGCAGCATCTGTGGAGAGAGAAATCGAGTTGGAAGAGCTTAAACTGATGATGATTAAGTGATCAGTTTTTAATGAGGGACAAATATTGGGCAGGATGCTGAGGATAAATCCCTTTCCCTTCTCTGAATTAGTGACAGTGGGATTTTTCACACACTCCCAGACAGGAAGATAGGGCTTCAGTGTAATTTCGTATCTAAGGAATCGTGCATCTGACAGTGCAGCTCTCCCATGGTAATTCACTGGAGGATGAGTTTTAAGTTCTTTTTCGCAGTCAAGCCCTTGAATGACATTTAAGTCCTGGACCTTGTGATTTTGAGGTTAATGAGCTAGCACCATGACACTCAAATGCATGTGAGCTATGTCTGTTGCAATGAAGATTTGAGGAACAGGCCGTGAAAGAGAAATATGTGTAACAACAAAGGTATGTCAGGTAAAGGAATGATGTGTTCAGGTAGTGAGAGAGTGCTTGATGGCTGCTAGCTCTGAGACTATTTATCAGAGGTCATTGAAACAATTCTGACACTGACTTCTTTTTCATTCATTCACAAGATGAGGGCGTCAAGGGCCAGGCCAACATTTATTACCCATCCCTAATTGCCCAGAGGGCAGTTAAGAATCTACATTATTGCTGTGTGTCTGGAGTCACATGTAGGCCAGACCAGATAGAAAACAAAATCAGAAATTGCTGGAAAAAATCAGCAGGTCTGTCAGCATCTGTGGAAAGAAAACAGAATTAACATTTCAGGCCCAGTGAACCTCCTTCAGCTTCTGATTTCCAACAACCTCCATCCTTTTTGAACCAAGTGGGTTTTTCCAGCAATCAACAATAGTTTCATGGCCATCATTAGAACATTAATTCCAAATTCTTTTATTGAACTCAAATTCCTCTATCTGCTGGGGTAGGAATTGAACCTGAGTCCCGAAAACATTAGCTGAGTTTCTGGATTTACAGTCTAGCCCTAAGGCCATTCAGCCATGGCCTCTCTAGTCAAGGTCCAGGGTGTCACAGAACCACTTTCCAACTTGAGATCTGCTTGGGTGAGTCTGCTCCTGCTGTCCTCTGAAGACCACTTCCTCACTGCTGGGATAATGACAAGAAACTCTCTCTTCTTATCTCCCAACTCCACCTGCCATTCACTTTGAATCACTGCCCTAACTCACATTACACTTTCCCTCTGAACACTTGCTGCTATTGTGAATCCAGATGGCGCCCTTGTCAATAGTCCTCCTTTAAGTATCTTCCAGGCTGGGGTCTAATGAAAGGTTACCGAACTGAAATGTTAACTTCTTTCTCAGGGATGCTGCCACGCCTGCATTGTTTGTAAATGCATATTTCGGATTTCCAGCAGCTGAAGTATTTTGCTTTTGTAACAACCATCCCAGCTGTTTCTGTTTGCATCCACTTCTGATCCATTGGTGTCAATAAAACAATCCTCTGTCATCTTGCTTTAACACAGGGAAGAAAGATTTATCTTCTGGATTTCAGTGAAGAATAATTCTTTGAAATTTGCATCCTGGGTATATAGGGTGGTTAAGAAGGCATTTAGCACACTTGCCTTCATTGCTCAGACCATGGAGTATACGAGTTCAGATGTTATATTGAGGTTGTAAGGAACATTGGTGAGGCCTGTTCTGGAGTACTGTGCGCAGTTTTTGGTCCCCTTGCTATGGGAAGGATATAATTAAATTGAAGAGAGTTCAGAAAAGATTTACCAGGATGTTGCTGGGACTGAAGGGTTTGATTTATAAGGAGAGGCTGGATAGACTGGGACTTCTTTCACTGGAGTCTAGAAGGTTGCGGGGTGACCTTACAGAGATTTGTAAAATCATGACGGGTATAGATAAAGTGAATAGAAAGTGTATTTTCCCTTGGGTGGGTGAGTTCAAAAGTAGGGTTCTTTTGTTCTTAAGGTGAGAAGAGAAAGTTGTAAAATGGACTCGAGGGGCACTATTTTCAGAGGGTGGCACATGTGTGGAATGAGCTGCCAGAGGAAGTGGAGGAGGCTGGTACAAGACATTTAAAAGGCATCTGGATGGGTAAATGAATAGGAAGGGTATAGAGGGATATGGGCCAAATGCTGGCAAATGGGACTAAGATTAATTTAGGATATCTGGTCCGCATGGATGAGTTGTACCGAGGGATCTGTTTTCTCGATAACTCTATGACACTGGGATAAGTACTTGAGTAGGAAAGATTTGGAGGGATAGGGGTCAAACAGGCAAGTGGGAGTTTGGGAACATGGTCCACATGGACTAGTTGGACTGAAGAGTTTCTTTCCAGGCTGTATGAGTCTATAACTGTATAACTATACCGTTACGTTACGCAGATCATTTAATGAGAATCCAGTCAGATAGTGGTGGTGACAGAGTGTTTTGAAAATGCTGGGAGACAGCCAATCGGCTTGCAGGAATATTATTTTTGAAAAAAAAGTCATGTCACGACATCTCCCTTGTGGCAGGTGGGACTTGAAAGCAGAAGTAGGGACACTAGCAATTGCTACAAAAGGCTTACAGAGCAGCGATATATGAGGGGTTGGCCACGATTTGAACCCAGGGCCTCTCACGTACAAAGATACATCAGCGAAACAGCAGCAAACTAAAACACAGCTCAATTCTCCAACCTAAACATGCAATGAACCGGACACGGCGCAATCCCCGCCCTCTCTGGGAGGTGGTGTCTAATTGAAATGCCGACGCCTCTAATCCGGCCTGACCCAATGGAAATGGGCTCGCCTGGCTGGGTCGGGACGCAGTGTGTGTGTAACTCTGAATGAATGAATGAAAAGTTGCCGGGTGCCAGTTCTCCGACAAGAGGAGGGGGGTGGGGAAGGGAGCTGGCATAATGCGGGGCTGGAGGAGGTGTAAGAGAGAGGGAAATTAAACTCAGCATCACAGAGAGAGAGAGAGAAGGGAGAGCGATTAAACTGCATCGCAGAGAAGGCAGAGAGATTAAACTCAGCATCGCGGAGACAGAGAGAGGGAGCACTTAAATTCTGCTCCAATTCCAACAGAGACCGGGAAGGGGGTTTTATATAAAATACAAACCCCACAACAGTCAGGAAACTGCAAACAGAGTGCGGCTGGAAGAGTTGGCAGAGCAGCGGAGATGGAATGATGGTGTCCTGTGCTGGCAGCAGTGGAGATGAAGGGGCACTGATGCCATTGGGATGTCTGTGTTTGGCTCCGAGGGATGGGGTGTAGGAGCGGGCAGCGTCTCAGGCAGGTTCCTGCACAGACTGCTCGCCATGTGCTCCGTGCTCAGCTTCTCCCTGCTCTGCCTGTCGCTGCTAGCCGCCCGCTGCCACTCTCTGCCGCCAGAGGCCAGGAGCCAGGAGGCGGTCTGCACTCACCAACAGCCGGCGCAAAGCACCCCCAGCCCGGACAGTACTCCCCGGCCCGGCGGCCAGGAGCTCTGGGCTGGCCAGGACAGCGCGGAGCCACAACAAGGCAGCGGAGCCCCGGAGGTGACCGCGATGTCTCCTCTCATCCCGGCTAACGGAACAGTCAAGGCGGGCAGCCGCTGGTGGGGCGCTCTCCGGCGGCTGCCTGAAGCTCTCATCATCGGAGTGAAGAAGGGAGGGACCCGGGCTCTGCTCGAGTTCATGCGGCTACACCCGAGTGTCCGGGCGCTGGGGGCTGAGCCACACTTCTTCGATAGACACTACGGCAAAGGGCTTCAGTGGTACAGGTAAGGAAATGGACTGGCCCCGTTATCACACAGACTCTCACAGCTCACCGACTCACACACAGACACACACCATCACACACTCTCACAGACACACCAACTCTCACACACACACACCATCGCACACTCTCACAGACACACCAACTCACACACACACACACCATCACACACTCTCACAGACACACCAACTCACACACACACACACACACCATCACACACACACACACTCTCACACAGACACACTCTCACAGACACACCAACTC